CAAGCAAGCCAGGCCTTGCCAGTGCCTCCTGTCACTCAGCCAGGAAGTAGGGAGTCAAAGAGGACCTCCCCGACCATGTAGCCTCTACTCTGAGTGCCTTTACTCTGAGGGAAGATGGGCCATAGAGTTCTCAGCCTCCAGCTTCCCCCTGTTGTCAACAAAGCAGAGTCAAATTTGCATCCTGACATTGTTCTAAGGTGCTGCAGAGTAGCAAATGTGGCTGCTTATTCTTCTTGAGAGAGCTGGTGTTACATTGAGCTTTAAGTGATTTTCTTGTGCTCGTTTTGTAAAACGCAAACCACAAAGAACCTGAACTGACTTGTAAAATGGTGTCTAAATTTCAACTTTAAAGGAATACAGTGGGAATGAACTGTAAACTTTATGTTCAAAGGACAAATGTGTCTAACTAACAGATATTGGTAAGTAGCCACAAAGAAGTAGCTGTTGCCATCTTGCTCGGTTTCTCTATGGAGTGAGAGTGGTGGGCAAGAATACTTCTTAGTCTACTTCAGTAGGTCTTAACCTTTTCTAGCTGCTGTTTCCTCTTTCCAGCTTTGATCTCTTGGCTGTTTTCTCCTACAGGGTACATCCCTAGCTATTTGGACAAAGATGAGCAGTGTGTTGTATGTGGAGACAAAGCCACAGGGTACCACTACCGCTGTATTACCTGTGAAGGCTGCAAGGTAAAAAATGCTTGAAAAGGTGTGTCTCAACCAAGGGCCTTTCCACACTTGCACCTAATCACGCAGCAATATGACTCAGCAACCTTCCCCCTTATGACATTGCTTTCACCTGATCCTCAAGTCATACCTGAGGCAGCTTAAAGTCATCCTCAGCTGTTCCAGTGTTAGAGTAATGCTTTGCCCTTTAAGCAGTCAATAGGCTGTGACAGCTTTACCATGAGTGCAGTCTGACAAATTTAGTCACCATTCAAGTGACCCTCTAGGGGTTGGGAACTTTTGGCCACTTGGGCTTCACCCAGCAGGCTTGCCTCTTACTTCCCAGTCCTTAGATGCTACCCTCCAAGTCACACTGCTCCAAGCAGTATGAGTGTCCTATTCTTTCAAACCAGGCTGTTCCCCTGTATTCCTCAGGTCTCCAGGCTAATTCTTGGCTCAGAGACTTGGATCAGTCTGGACAGCAGTTGACTAGCAGGAGGGGACCTGTGGTGAAGCAGAAGAGAGGTTCCCTCTTTGCTGTTTCATGATGCAATTTTCCCTGTGCCTGTCAGTTGTTTGGGCTGTGTTTGCATACAAGGTTAGCACTATTCTGGAATATTGCTAGACTTGTGTTCAAATGGAGCTCAACTCTTAGTTGATATCAGACTGACTTTGAAGTTGCACAAAGTCCAAGCAAGTTTTGACAGATGGCTAAACCCAACAGTCTACCCATCTGTCAAAACTCGTTTCTTCCATGATCAGCTTCATCTACATTAAAGAGAGTGATTAGTAGATGTTTTCTTACTAGCTTGTGACATTTGGTAGGAGAGGAGGGAAGCAAAGCCTGGGAAATCTATTAATCCTTGTCCTCAGAGTGTATGTATACTGTAAATAAGATCAGTGCCATTTGCTAACAACATGTCTGTGGCAGGATAGGTTGCCAATAGTAAATTTTATGCCAGTATAATTTTCTGCTAGCTCAAGAACTGGTGTATAATACTTCAACGTGGCTGTGAGAAAGTCCTCCACTCTAGCTATCTTAGATTAACTCGCTCCAGAAAAAATCATTATGTGCATGGTTCTGCTGCAGTCAGGATAATGCTAGATAATCCCAAACATCCAAGGTGGCTTCATACTGCTTCTTCTGTGGGAAGTAATGGGGGGTATTTGGCCACTTGGTTATAGGAAATAGAGATGGCAAGCAGGTGTAGCATACATGCAGCAAGTGAGGAGAACTTAAAAACTTTTGAGCCAGCATTCATTGTCAGGTGTGGAAGAATGAAAAAAAGCTAGGCTGGAAGAAGAATGGAAAGGGGAAGGAGATTGTGCAGTATCTCAAGAAGCTATAAAACCATCTGAAATGGATAAAGCCAAGTTTGGGTGCAAATAAAAGTTAGATGCATTACTATTTTCATGACCTCCAATTACATTTCATGATTCATACTCTGCTACGCCTGATCTTTGCTTTATCTGCCAGCCTTTCTCAATACCACTATGAATACTCCAAATCTGCAAATGTGACTACTATTTATCACATTTGTAGGATACATGTAGGGTTATCTACGTTAAGGCACAGAGATACTGACTTTCTGAAAGCTCCATAATGAGTTTTGTAGCTGAGAAGTTAAGTATTTGAACCTGTATCTTCCTGGTCCAGGTCCATTGCTCTGATCACCACACCTCAATTAATATTATGTATAATTAGCATTATTAAAGTTATGCAGAACACCGAAATATTTAAATGTCATGTCTGGGAGAGTTTATTAACAATCAATATTAAATGCCCAAAGCAAAAGGAAAGGAAGAAGAGATTATGTGGATTGACCAATCAGTGATGATAGGAAACAGTAAAGAAACTGGGAAGGTATGGCTGAGGAAAGGTTATACTGTACTAGATTGTAAGATGAATAAGGGGATTCCTGCAGATAAAATAAACAGGTTCCCCGCCCCCCCCCCCCCAAGTACAGCAGAATGGGAGAATTAACTCAATAAGAGCCTAAGCTGCTTTAGAGACAATGTTGGGGCCTGTAATAAAAAATACAAGGGATGCTCTACACCCATGCATAACGTAGGGGAATCACTCCTCAAAACTTTCCTACAGTTAGCTTCTCTGTAGTAATTGACAACTGTGCCTGAAGATCACCATTCTTTGTACAGGAGGCTACTGCAGATATGCCTTTCACTTGGGGGCTGCAGTTCATCAACTGTGGTGGCCCTTTGAAATCCTTCTCTTTAGATGGCCACCTCTTCTCCCTCTTCTCTGAGAGGGCTGTTTCTGGGCTTAGTAGCAATATGATTTGGAATTCAGATCTTTAGATTTCTGGGCACAGCATGTGGGTTTTCTAGGCATTATTTATTGACTAATTTTTAAAAAATTAATGTTGTTGCTTTGACATTGAATAATTAAAAGTATATTAAACACATGCTTGTTTGCTTGCCGATAAATTCAGCAGAGATTTTTTTTAATGTAAAGTGCAATTGGATGTACAATAAGAGGAATGAAATCTTTACTGTTTCCCACCTTTCTCAACTCTGCTTGGCCTCATTCAATTATTTTTCCCCAACCTAACTCACTATTGGATCTGGACTATAGGAAAAAAGCACAGTGCAGCAGGAAAAAGAAAGAGGTTTTTCCCTTGTAATGCTCAGTCAATCCCCACTTTTTATACAGAGGGGCAAGATAAGGTTCAGTAAGCACACGGACAATTGGTTGCATCCCTGAAATGCAGAATTTTTCTACTGTGGGCTTTATTGTAAGAGTTTCTTATAATTTCTTCTAGTATTTCAGTTTGCTGCAAAGTTGTGTTTACTTTTCCTTGAATGGGAAAGGGGAAGAGATGAGTAGGCATTTAAAAACTCTGGATGGAGAATGAATAAAGAGCCGTCACAAAACCTGATTTCAGTGCCAAGTTTAAAATGGAAATGTAAAGTTTGTAATAAACATAAATATGTCTTGGAATACACACACAGTGCATTTCTCTAGTTATTAGCCCTTCCTCCCCTCCAATTTTTCGGGGGGGAGGGGCTTCAAGAGCTTTCCTAAAAATTGATGTAAGCTGCCCTTCCCTTTCCCCCCTTTATTTATACATTTCCGAAATGTTACGGGAGCTGTTTCCATGTGGTCTGACAAGATGTTACATTTGGTAGTTAGAACCTTCTAGATTGGGCAGATGTTCCCATTTTGCAGCAACTTCTGTGATGAATGAACGAATGAATGAAGTTAGTAAATTTATAGGCCGCCCATCTCATATACACGACTCTGGGTGGCTCATAATTAAAACAATTGAATTCGGTTTTCTTGCACGTAAAAGGCAAGAAAGTGTAGTGCGCTTGTGTTTAACTCTGTAATGCTGTTTCGCGAATAGGTTGTGCCTGACATAAAAGGCATTACCATCATTTTCTTTTTATTTAATTACTAAAAAAACAACCCAAAGATAAAAGGAAACACAGACTTAAATAGAAAACAAACAAGCTGCAGGTAGACATAGCTAAAGTTTTAGTGCCTTGGGCAGAAAATTCAAGTGGCATCATAAATCACTCAATGGCGGCAAAATGCCAGCCAGCTCTGGGTTGAACTGTGGAATTAGGTCCTGGGCTGACAAAGTTTAAACGCTAATAGTAGGCTTAAGAATCATTTAAGGGTTAGTAATGGGGGAGAGAAAGAACTAGGTCACAGGTGTAATCCTTTGGAAAATTTACTTCAGAAGGCTCAGTGAAATAAATGGAAACTCTGTAGGATCCAAGAGGAGGAGAATAGTTTTCTGGTAAACTCTATCCTGTATTCCCTCCTAAGAAGCCATGGTACCAGAATGTCACAAGGTGACTATATCCTGGGGTAGAACCATAGGAACACACAAAACTTGAAATCCACTAATTAACACTGGCAGCAACCACTGTTCCAAACACCAAAACGATGTCTTTCTACCCTGGTCACCTCTATGATCACTTGCCTGTCACTGATAGTTATAGTAGCAAAAGGTTCAGTTCAGTTGGAAAGGTCAGTAGCACTACAGCAGGACTGTATCCTCTTCGGTAGAATACAGAAGCTCATGGGTGGGGGAATTGGTGAGTGGATTATGGTTTGAGAATGGAAAGATGCATGCTCTGCTTTCTCAGGGTTGCCTGAGTCTGATTGCGTTCTCTGTTCTACAGGGCTTTTTCCGACGGACCATTCAGAAAAATCTGCATCCAACATACTCCTGCAAATATGATGGCTCCTGTGTCATCGATAAGATCACCCGCAACCAGTGTCAGCTTTGCCGATTCAAGAAGTGCATTGCCGTTGGCATGGCCATGGACTGTAAGGGCATTGCGCCCACTTTAGAGAACTAGGGGGGTTGGGGAGATGGGAATGGGAGTGGTTACAGGTTGTTATCAGGGAGCAGAGAAGAAATGTGCCCAAGAATGGACACACTTTGGAGGATCAAAAGAGGGAGATACATTGTTTGGTGTGTAAAATTGCAGGGGGATCATCTTTGAATCCCTACATTTTGAGTCCTTGGGGTAGCGTGAGAGCTCTGCACCTCACAAGAGCTGTCCTAGTATTCCATAGGGTGTCAAGGCAGCCTATCAGATTGCTATTCATAATTCCCTTTGGCACCTTGGAATTGGCCAAATTGGTTGCAGAATTCTGATTGGCTCTATGTGAGACCCCCTCCTCTCACACCTCTTCATTCTTCACCACCCCCCTAGTGGTGCTGGATGACTCCAAAAGAGTAGCCAAGCGGAAGCTGATAGAAGAGAACCGGGAGAGACGGCGCAAAGAGGAAATGATGAAATCCCTTCAGCACCGGCCAGAGCCAACGGCAGAGGAATGGGAGCTGATACGCATTGCTACGGATGCACACTGCAGTACCAATGCCCAAGGCAGCCATTGGAAACAGAAGCGGAAATTCCTGGTAAATTGTACTGGCAAATAGGGTAGACAGTACTATTTGTCAGAATTGACGCAATGCATAATTTTACATACTTCTTTTCATTCTTTATTTTGGATTACATGTGGTCCTCACTTAATGATCATTCATTTAGTGACTGTTCAAAGTACGATGACACTGAAAAAAGTGACTTATGACTGGTCCTCACACTTACAACCATTGCACCTTCCCTGCGGTCACATGATCCTGATTCATGCATTTACGATGGTCGCAACATCCCATGGTCACGTGATTGCCATTTGCAACCTTCCCAACTGGCTTCCGACAAGCAAAGTCAATGGGGAAGCTGGCAGGAAGTTGCAAGTTGCGGTCACATGATGTTTTACTTAACGACAGCTTAGCAACAGAGTTGCCAGTACCAGTTAGGGTCATTAAGCCAGGACTACCTGTAATATTTTCAGGCCCTAGTTCTGTTTTCAAGGGTCCATATCTTTCCGTTACATCTCTTTTCCCCAGTCCTTTCCCCAAAATCTGATAGATTAAAGGTAAATCAGACAGAATAAGTGAATATATGCAAGATTTACTCTGCTTCAAGTTTTGGTTACCTGATGCCAAGTAGACACACTTCTCTATTTTATGCTGGACTTAACATTTTGTGCCACTAATATGCTAAGCCAGTGCTTCTCAACCTTGGCAACTTTAAGATGTGCGGACTTCAACTCCCAGAATACTGGCTAGGGAATTCTGGGAGTTGAAGTCCACACTTCTTAAAAGTTGCCAAGGTTGAGAAATACTGTGCTAAGCATTGCAGAGAACTGAGCATTGGTTGTTGGAGTTTATATTGTTTTTCTTTGTGTTTTCTTCCTTAACCAGTGGATAAAGAAGCAGGCCGAAATTAACACAAATGTATAGTTAGAGTTTGTGTCATTAGAATTATGCATCTGACCAAAGTATATTCACATCCTGCTTGGCTAATGAAGTAACTACACATTTTCAGCTGTTTGCTAGCTGTTCTGCAACTCTGTTTATGAGTGAAAGTAAGAAAGCTGCTATGAATTAGGCAAAACCAGAGCTGTATCTACTTTGTACTATTAAAAAAATACCATTTTGTACCAAAATATCTAAGTTCTGTGCTAAAATCATATTGTGTGCTGCGTAATCAGAATACCAACGTAGCCTTGAATATAATGTTATAGATTTATTGCAAATTGTGAGCATTTTTTAAAAGCTGAAGCATTTAGCTATGTGGTCTTTCATAGTATGAAAGGTTTCTTATTCCATCCATTTTTAATTTGAATTTGACCTTAATTGCCAATAAATTTAATTGAGATATAGAGTATAATTTTTTAAATCTCTTTTTCATTCATGCTCATACATAAAACATCTGGCCAATTTATAAGCTTCTTTTATTTCAGTAGAGGTGATACAAGCATATGCTCAGCCCTTGAAAAGAAAATATTTTTACGTATTTAACATTAGTTGCGGTCTTACTTTTAAAAATGTACAAATATCTTCCCAGGCTATTAATGTGGGAAAATTGTAATCCGTCTTGAATGTTAGCAATTATAGTAAGCTCAGAGTCAGCATAAACTTGATGATAAATCCAAGAACTCAACCATTTTTAGTTAAGATTTTTCTCGCTGCCATAGTTTAGCACAGTGTTTCCCAACCTTGGCAAACATGCTGGCTGGGGAATTCTGGGAGTTGAAGTCTACACATCTTAAAGTTGCCAAGGTTGGGAAACTGATTTAGCAAATTATTCAAGGCTGCAGAGGTGCCTCTGAAGGGTTAATTTCTTGAGCAAATGGCCACAGCTGTGACCTCTCAGCTCTGACCAAGGACAGATGGAATGGAAACCCCTCAATGCAACCCCCCTCTCCTCCCCCATTTCTGAGCAGAGCAGGAATTGCTGGCTTGGGGCACCCTCTGCTGGCCATAGTCAGTTAATGTCAGGGCAGGTCAGGACATGGAGGTCATAGAAAGTGAGGCTTGGGGGTTGGGAGAGGAAATAGGCCAGCAGACTGAGGGGATCACGGGTAAACATTGCTTGATTCTGTTTCCCCTCTCCCTAGCCTTTATAACGCACGGCAGCGTTCCTTGCTGAACATAGGAAGTGGTCCTGAAATTCAGTCCAAAAATGGATTAAAAAGCATTCCTGTTGAGTTCTGATGATGAAACTAAACAGGTCCTGCTCTTGAACTGTCTGCATATAAGAAAGAAGTTTAAACCTTGGGGGGTGGGGGAGTTCTGGACCTTACTCAGTGCAGGGTTTCAGCACTCTCTTCCCAAATATTCCAAATGACTAGGAAGTGAAGTGTGGTAAACTTCCTACATTTTCATTGGAAAGGGGACAGAGGATATCCTTCAAATTGCTGTATTGCTCTTTCCAAAGCCCTTGGGTCCAGAACAGCTGAAGGCAGATGCTTGTCATTCTCAGACAAGTGCATTTGAATAGAACGATGGACACGGATCTTCCCAGCCTTGAGGGACCGAAACTTGTATTTTCAGCACTGTTATTATTGACATTTGCACAGTGTAGTGTCAGAGTAATATCTTTTAAAACTGATATTTTAAATTGCTAGTAATGGTTTTAAAGATTTCATATTTTAATAAAGTGATATTGTTTTGATGCTATTTGTACAAAGGCTATGTATAACTAATATAAAGAGATTGCCTCGTAAAGAAGTTGAGCGAGAAGGACAAGATGCTGACGGATAAGAGTTATGTTTCCAATTTTACAGTTGGATGATAAATTTCCTGTTATATGGGGTATCCTGAGTGAGTTCTCTGCAGTCTTAATTCTGCCTCTTCCTCCCACTAATAGCCTGAAGATATTGGTCAATCACCAATGGCCTCCATGCCTGACGGGGACAAAGTAGACTTGGAGGCATTCAGTGAGTTTACGAAGATCATCACCCCTGCCATCACCCGTGTGGTGGATTTTGCCAAAAAACTGCCCATGTTTTCAGAGGTAAGCAATGGATGATGAGCAGTGGGAGGGAGGAGGAATTTAGTTGTGAAGTTCTGAACTTCCAGATAATTTCTCCTTACGTTCATCTTTTCTCACTGTTAGAACCATTTTGGCTGACTGTCAGGAGGACATAGGAATACACTGCATCCTCACATCATCAGTATCTCCACATGCCATCTCTCCTCCCATCAAATCCTGGTCCAAAGGATTTTGGTTTTGGTGGGCTTGTCTCATCCGCCCTGTATTTGGTGGTTTTGGTGGGCTTGTCTCATCCGCCCTGTATACCTCTCTTCAGCTCTTTACATACACAGGAGATGATAGGAAGCTCTGAAGATAAGTTTCAATGGTTATCAGTTTGTCCTCTGTCTGCAGAGGGTTAAAGGGCAGACTACACTGAAGGAGAAAAAATTTCATAAATATTTTTATCACAGTGTCAGAAGATGCCCTTCATTTTCCATGAACTTTCATGGATCACCACAAAAAGAATAGTTCTTACTATTTAGAATGCATTGCCCCCAAATGGACTTTGTTTAGTTTTGTTAAACTGAACTTTGTTAAGTTAACTTCATGATTAGTTACAATCACCCTTGTGACCTGCCAAGGATGTTCTCCAGCTATAGTAGATTTGCTTTCAGTGATACACCCATGTGGCTAAGTTAACTGGGTGTATCATGATGTTGTCACATTCAGTCTATGATTACTGCTTGACTGGAATCATTTTGTAAGGGAGAAATCCTTAACTAAAGGAGAAAATGACACTGAAGCAGCAGATTTTGCAAACAGGAACTACAGGAAAGCATGTAAAGTGTTGAAAGTAGAGGGATCTTTGAGGAAACATTTGGGGGGGGAGGGGCTAAGCCTAGGTTGGTTCCCAAAGTGGATAAATGGTTATGATGGTGATAATGATGATTCCAATTCCTCTATACCGGGTTCCTCAACCCCGGCAACTTTAAGATGGGTGGACTTCAACTTCCAGAATTCCCCAGCCAGCAAGGAATTCTGGGAGTTGAAGCCCACCCATCTTAAAGTTGCCAAGGTTGAGGAACCCTGCTCTATACCACCATATTCCAATATAATGGAATATCCCAGCAGTTTACAGCAAAAGAACAATACACAGAACAATATAAAATAGATGACATAAGTTAATAACACCCATAGGCACCCAGCCCTAGTGGCAGCCATTACAGCTGAAAGGCTTTCTGGAATGATACCATTTTTACCATTTCTAAATGCCATCAAGGGGGTGTTGGAGATACACTGTAAACCTGGGGGTGGGGAGGGAGTAGGCTGTTCTGAAGCAATAAAGCTGCAGCAGAGAATCACTACCTCCAAGCTCCTCCCAACCTTCTGCCTGAAGGAGATGGTCCTGAAGGTATCTGGAAGCCAAGCCATGAAAGGCTTTATAGTTTAAAATCAACACTTTCAGTTGTACCTGGAAACTCACTGGCAGCGAAGGCCATGTCAACAAAACCAGTTATAGCCTATGCTTACCTGCTACCACCCAAGTGGCCGTAGCATTTTGCACCAATTGCAGTTTCTGAATAGCCTTCAAAGGCAGCCTCAGGTAAAGTGTACAGGTAGTCCTCGGTTAACTATGGTAATTGGGACCAGAATTTCCATCACTAAGTGATGCGGTCATAAAGCGTGACATCATGTGACCCCATTGCTTAGCAACAGCAATCCCGGTAGTCCTCACGGCCATTGTTAACCAAATCCCACCGTTTGTTAGTTGAGGACCCACCCTGAGCCAAGACATTCCCAGTTTGGTCCTTCCCAGCCCTGAGCCTCGGTAAGGTAAGGGACTGCCTCCTCTGGCTCCTTTTCAACTCCCCGCACCTGCCTCTCTCCCCCTTATTTCTGCCCTTTTCTCCACCTGCCTACCTGCTGCTGCCGGCTGCCCCCGCCACCCGGCCCAGTTCCCCACTGCTGCATGCACTGCACCGCGCACCACTCCTGTACCGTCCGGGGCCGCCTTTTGCACCACCTTCTTTCTTGCTGGTGCAGCTGGGGCTTCTCTTGTGTCCCACCCAGGGCCTCCGTTTGTGTGCCAGCCAGGGCCTTCATTGGTGTGCCAGCCAGGGCCTTCATTGGTGTGCCAGCCAGGGCCTCTATTCGTGTCCTGCCCAGGGCCTTTGGCAAAAGAAGCACAGTGCCTGAAAGAAGGCTCTGGCTAGAAAGGTCCTCCTTTTGTGCTAACACAACCGGAGCTGCCTTTAACATGCTGGGCTTCTTTCACAAAAGAAGGCCCTAGGCAGAGCATGAACAGAGGCCCTGGCTGGCACATGAACAGAGGCCCTGGGTGGGACAGAAGAGAAGCCCCAGTGGCACCGGCGTGAAAGAAGGCAGTGCGAAAGAAGGCCCCGGATGGTACAGTAGTGGTGCATGGTGCAGTGTGCAAAGCAGCAGGGACAGGGCTGGGCAACAGGGGCAGCTGGCAGCAGTGGGTAGGCAGGCGGCCAAAAGGCGGTCATAAATGCGGCTGGGCCTGAGCGGACCCAAATTTTGTTCAAGTGACCATGAGGGCACTGCAATAGCCAGAACTTCAAGGACTGGTCATAAGTCCCTTCATTCAGCGCCATCGTAAGTTTGAGTGGTTGCTGAACGAATGGACATTAAGCGAGGACTACCTGCATTGCAGTAGTTTAGCCTGGATGTGATAAGGGTGTGGGTTGCACAAATGGAGTACATCAGGTAAGTCTACACTGAGTAATGAAGGTGGTGGGGCCTCATTCATCATACTCTTGGAGAATAGTTTTCTGTTTTCTTCTTCTCTCTATTTAATTTAGGGAAATGTGAGCTTTTTATACAACATGCTAAGACAAAGGCAGGATTCTCACAATATCCTGAACCACAAACTACCCAACACCATTTTACCCTAGTCTAATGTGCTATGAAAACTCAGCCACTATATTATATTAATTTTAACAATGTAAAATGTCCTCTTTAATATTTCATACATGATGGGTTTAGATTAGTGAATTAATTATTGCAAACTATCTTGTTATGCCTGCGAAATGTTCAGGATGGATAAATAAGCCAAAATTGGGAACCAGGGACTTGGTCTCAAATACAGGAGACAAGGAACATTATCTTAGACCGAAAATTGTGAGAGAATTATCATGCAGTAACCTGTTGTTCATAGATGTTCTGATAGCCATCCTGGGAGCATTTCTAACTAGCTGGGGGCAGCAAATTTCAATTAGCCTCCTGGTAAATGGGGCCAGCTGCTAGAAGAGGAACATTTCCTGCAAATAAGTGACTTTGAAAAGAAGCATCACATTTCCCACCACAACTTACCTTCTGGTTTTTTCTCCTGACTGACTTCTGGCTCTTGATTTCCTGCTGCTTTGATTGACATGGAGAATGTATGCTCTTTCTACTTCTGGGACCCACTATTTATAGCATTGCCATTCCTTGTCTCTTTATATTAAGACCTTGCACTGCTTTTCTGCCCTGGGGAGCAAAAATGTCTTCATTCTCTGGGAGATAGAGTAAGATCTTCTTTTACTCCAATGGGACTATCCTAGGCAGCACTATCCTAGATAACCATGTATGCCAGAGCCAAGATGACCATGCTTCTCTCCACCTTTAGCTGCCTTGTGAGGACCAGATCATCCTTTTGAAGGGCTGCTGCATGGAGATTATGTCATTGCGGGCAGCTGTGCGTTACGACCCTGAGAGTGAAACCCTGACACTCAGTGGTGAAATGGCCGTCAAGCGGGAGCAGCTGAAGAACGGTGGCTTGGGCGTGGTATCAGATGCCATCTTTGATCTGGGAAAATCCCTCTCTGCCTTCAGCCTGGATGACACTGAAGTGGCACTGCTCCAGGCTGTGCTGCTCATGTCCTCAGGTAGGGGTGGTGGATTGATTATGCTCTCTGTGTGCCCCTTATGCGATTGGCATTATTCAAACACAAGTGAGTCAGACCAGGGCTGCATGTAGCTCAGTATTATCTGTGTTGATCATCAATGGCTTTGTAAGACTTCAAATTAAAGTTGTACCTTGGCAGAAGGTGGAAACTGAACCTTTGACTGTTTATGGGCCAGACTCTTAGCTACAGCTCTTCCCTTAGATCTGGGATGGGCAACATGCGACTCCCAATTTATCAAAATGCCTAAGTGAGACTATGACTATAAGCAGTTTTATATCTTTAGCTATTTTTTCTCACAGTCTCCCAAATCACCAGCTAAGCAGAGTATGTGTTGCATTTGTGGAATGCACAGGATACTGTACATAGCTAGTAAATGGAGGGAGGGTTAAGTAAAAGGATATTAAATAGTGAAGAGGATTCTTTTAATGGCTTCATCAGAGGGGAGTTCAGTCAGTCGGTTGAAGGATTAGTTAAATTGGCCTTTGACATGTGTTGAAAAATTGAATTCAAGTTGAATCTTGGAAAGTGGACTGCATCATTAAGTTCAGGTGAGAAGGTTGCACTGAGAAACTAGGAAGAAAGGAAATTTAGTCAGTTTGATTTGAGGGACATCTTGAAGATTGAATTGAGTGACTGAGAGTGAAAAGTCATTCTCAGTTATATTATGACTGACAATAAGCAATTCTATCAAATCCAGAGAGAGAGTGAAATTATCCCCAGAATTCATTCAGTCCTTACTGGAATTGATGGATCAATCTGCAGCATTGCTATCATTTATTAAAGAACACCAACACTCCTGGGTCCTTAAAGCTATGCAGGGCATAACACCTGGGACAGTGGAGATGGTGTTGAGAAGAAATGTGCTTTGTGTGCTGCATTAAACAACTCCAAATAAGTGGCAAATGGCTTGTGAAAAAAGCAATTGTGTTTTGCTTTAGATTTTGGACTCTAAGCTATACAGGTAATCCTCGCTTAGCGACTGCCCTGTTTAGCGACCATTCAAAGTTACCAGGTGCTGAAAATTGACAATCGGTCCTTGCACTTACGACCATCGCAGTGTCCCTGTGGTCACGTGATTGCGATTCAGGTACTTTGCAGCTGGCAGGCTTTATAACCATTGCAGCGTTGGTCACATGATCGCCATTTGTGCACTTCCCAGCTGGCTTCCAACAAGCACAGTCAATGGAGAAACCGGCAGAAAAATTGCACGTCGTGGTCATGTGATATCTCACTCAATGACTGTGTTGCTTAGCCACAGAGTCGCTGGTATCAATTGTGGTCATTAAGCAAGGACTACCTGTACTCTTTTTCTGAAGATCGTTATAAGATATTGGTAAGGCAGTGAGCAGTGAGCAAGCAGAAGGTCCACTTTTAAACTCTGGAGCCTCTTCATACTCATAGGAAAATCGTATGTCTAAAACACTAGAATAGGAATAGGGAACTTCCAGCCTTTGGGCCTAAACCAGCCTGTCAGGCCAGTTCATCTACCCCACAGGGCACAAGATCCTATCCTGTCCCACAAAGTCTTTGCCTCTTCCTTGGGCAGTGTAAGCCACATTTGTGGGTGCTCTTGATGGAGCTCCTACATGGGGAAGGGGGGAAACAGAAAAACCAAGGAGCTGAACTTGTCCTGCATTTTTCCCTTCAAAAAAGGCATGAGGCAGTTGAAAATGGTACCATGGCCATTTCAGGTGCTATGCTTTGTTCATTTGGAGGCAAAGCTCTGAGCATACAGTTAATTCTAACCCGAGCAATGAGGGTTTAACCGATTTAGTGAGTCAGAAAGGTTAACCTGGGATTAGGGCAATTTGGTTGGTTGCAGAGGGGCAAATTTACACAAGAAACTTCAGCCTGCCTGACATGTATCCTCTTTTCCATTTACCTTGCAGACCGCAGTGGGCTAATTTGCGTTGACAAGATTGAAAAATGCCAAGAGACCTATCTGCTGGCATTTGAACACTACATCAATTATCGCAAACACAACATTCCCCACTTCTGGCCCAAGCTCCTCATGAAGGTGACCGACCTACGCATGATTGGGGCTTGCCATGCCAGCCGCTTCCTGCACATGAAGGTGGAATGCCCCACAGAGCTCTTTCCCCCACTCTTCCTCGAGGTCTTTGAGGATCAGGAAGTTTAGGGTGTGGGGAGGGAGGGAGGGGGCAAACAGGGTGGCGTGGGCAAATTGGGGACATGGGGCAATTTGGGACTGGGGCGATGTCTGGACTTGGGCCACGAGGCCCTCACCTCATCACCTCGGACACAACAGATTTTCATTGTTTTGTTCTGTTTTGTTGTTTTCATTTTTCTTTTCATTTTCTTGTTTTGTTTTTCTAAATATTGCACGTCAGCATCAGTGAATCCCATGGATAGGGGAAGCAAGGGCATCATTGGTAGGGGTTGGGCCATGAAAAAAAAGTCGAAGCTATACAAAATCTGGGTTACGAGGTAGATTTGTGCAGTAGCCAACACATTCTTTGTCTAGGCAGATTTAAAAAAATAATAAGTGGACAATAGTTCCCACCTACCCCCTTGTTATATCCCCTGTTGTCCAAAGTCGTCTTTCCAGGGTGAAATGTCTGTCTTAAACTTTAACACAAACGAAGAGGAAAACAATCCACATGTTCTCCCCCCCCCCCCCCAAAGTGCTTTGCCTTTCTCCCCTTCTTTAAAAAAAGTTTTCTGGCCCCCACAACACTGGAAACAATTGGCACCTCTTTGTTCCAGCCCTGATCAAACCTCTCTCGTTTAAACGGACTTGATTACCAATATATATAAGTATATATACATATATACATACATATATGTATATATTTCTTTTGCACATAACAGTCCCAGGAAACGTCAGAGTGTGTTTGGTTGTTTTATTCTTGTTTTCGATTTCTTTTAGAACTTTTAGCATTTAGTTATCCTCCCTGGGAGGCTAAAATTGAAAAATGCACTTTTTTTGTAAAAGAAAGAAAGAAAGAAATGGAACCGAGAGAGGAAAAGAGAAATCCTATTAAATTATTGGGGACAGGTGGGGGGAAGGAAGGTCACAGATGTTTTGGCAAAAAAACCATAAATACAAATTGAAGCTCAAGGTCCACATGTGAAGGACAGATGCACTTTGAACGAGACAAAAATCCTTCCTCTCCAATCCTCCCCTCATGGAGAAACAGGTGATTGAATAAGAAGTCTATTTTATATTGTTTTGAATCGCACTGCAGGGCTTGCCTCTTTAGAGGTGCCCGCCTTGTATTCCAGTGTTGAGAGGTGTATTCATCAGCCTTCCGCCCTGCCCCGATGCCCTCTTCCCTCCCCAAAGCTTCAGCCAATCTACCTCCATGTTCAGCAAGGCGGGTGGATTTAACACATTCCCACCCATACCTGCTGCCCCTTCCCAGCTGAAAGGCTGCATGCAATGTTCCCACTGGGCTTTTAAATGGCCCTTGCTAATTCTTTGCACACGCTTTCCCACGCCACGTGGCGGTACACTTCTTGCTGCACTAGTATTCTTGCTGCCCTGCTGCACCCTCCCTTCAATGCCCTTCTCTCTGGGGAAGTAATGAGGAGAAATCCTAACTCTTCAATGCTCCAAGAGAATCAAGTTAGGTTTCAATTCTTTCTTACTCATTTTTTTGGGAAATGGCACTTATCAGTACAGAAAACATGAAAACAGTAAATTCTTGGGGACATGGCAACACCCTTCACAACCAGAATTGTACAGGCTTTCTGTATTAAGAGGTTGTGGGCTCTGCATAATAACTTTTCTTTCTTCTACAGCATTCCATGTCCCCTGTACTTCTAAATTACTGGCCCTGTTGTAGTCCCAGATGTGTTTGTACACATGGGAAGAAAGGGCAGAGGTTTCTTTTGTATGGCAGAAGCCTGTTAGAAAGGTTATCCTGACCTGATTGAATCTAATTTTCCCTTTTGGAGGGGCGCTAGATCAAGGAAATAATATTCTAATGCACTTCCTTGCACAATAGGAGGGTCACTCTGCCCAACTTGAACTGCCATGGGCAGAACAACGCCCTAAGCCTCAGGTTGCATGAAGTGTGTCAGAGGTGATCCACTTGGGAACTTGGAGGCAGGCTACCCACATCTGTAAAACGGAATTGGCCAAGCTGGCAAGAGAAAAGTACCCTAGGTTTTCAAACTTGGGTCTTGTTCCATTTGATCTCAGATTTTTTTATTTAGTGTTGTGCTTATGTGGTTGTTTCTGGTTGTTGGAAAATAGAACCTCTGAAGTTCTGGCCAGCAATGAGCTTTATGGGAACATCATTTGGAGAAGGGGAATAGTAAGTGGTGATCAACCAGGCCTAGCAACCCCATTGCAGTAGCCGCCAGCCTGCCGCTACCCAGCTTTCTTGCTTCTTGGTTGACCCTTGGGAGGTGGAGCAGTTGGTACCTAGGGCCATATTTGGCATGGAACATCCAGTTATGGATCCCCACTCTAAAGATTTGCCCGGGGAGGAGGTATTTCTAAAGAAGAAGAAAAAGAAAAAACAACCACCAGCTTCCCGCTTTCTTCCTGTCTGTTTCACCTTTAATGCAAGCCAGACTGTGATCACCTTAATGCAAGTATTTTGGCACTTAACACTGTTAATAGATCAGACTTCTCTCTTTTCTCCTAACCTGCTTTATCTGTGATAGATCCATTTTTTGTCAACTTATTAGCCAGACCTTTTTTTTTTGCAACTGTAATGTAATGTTATTGGGGAGAGGGGTATATTTTTACCTCCCCCCCTTCCCTTGTTCTTTCTCTCTGTCACATGGTTTCCGTTGAAAAAAACCCTTTACCTCTTACCTCATTCAAGACGCCGTGGGAAATGTTACATGATGGGTTGGGTGCATGTTGGATGTACCATCTGAAGGTTCAGAGGCCGGCGCATGGAGAACACAGCTCCAATTTAAGCTAATATACAGAAATATATATATATATATAATATGTATTAATTTTTTTAATTAAGAAAATCTTTGTAC